CTACGCGCTGCCTCATACGACGACCTCGGTAAAAACAAATAAATATGCAACACGTGTTACTTCATCATAGCGCGTGTGATACCCTCTCCATCAGCGAGAGTGTGGCTAAGAAAAGGAATTCGCCGGTAAAATTAATAAAAGACGGATCAAAAATTAAATAAACGAACCAAAAAAACAAAACAAAAATCGAAAGCTGAGAAAGTAAATGGGAAACGACGACTGACTCGTCTTCTTCCTCTTCCTCCTCCTCCTCCTCGTTCCCTTTTTCTCTTCTTAGGTTTCTGATTTTGATCGGAGGTAAAACGTTTAAAAGTTTGCGATTTGATGAGCTAGGGTTTGTAATTTCCCGAATCGGATGTTTGTCACTGTCTTCTTCTCTTCGATCTTTTTACTCATCGGGTGAGACAAAAGAGGCATCTTTTTCATGTGTTCCCGCGTATATCGACTGTTTTATTGGGCTTAGAAAGCTCTAGGTAAAACCCTAATTTCTTCTTCTTCTGCACTCGAATCATTGGATCTGTGTTAACTTTGTGTTCTTCACTTTTATTTTTTTTTCTGGGTTTTGATTTCAGAGCCACTGTCTCTTTCAGTATATGGAAATGATAGTTTGTTTTGTGTAGTCATGATCTGTAGCTATCAAATTTAGGTTTTTTTTTCTCTGTAATGGGTCTGGTTTCTGCTTAATTTCTTGGAGAAGTTAAATTCGAATCTAATGGTGAAGAGTAAACATAGTTGGTGTGCTTACTTTCTGCGTTTCACTAGCTCCTTTTTCTCAATTAAGGGCTTGCATGGTGTAGAGCTTTTTCACTAGTTTCGTGACTGTATTGATACATTTGTTTTACAGTTGCAAGAGAAGACAAATGCTATTTCTTATCTCATTGCTTGTGGTGTATATTGAAGTGATTGTTTTGTATCATCTTTGTGCCCTTGCAGTTTGGTTTGAGAATCGTAATATCGATTAAAGAAAAGATGCTCGAGGGAGCAAAGTTCAACGTGCTGGCTGTTGGGAATCACAACAATGACTATGCTTTCACGCAAGAGTTCTATCAAAAGCTCAATGAAGGTTCAAACATGTCCATGGAGAGTATGCAGACGAGTAACGCTGGAGGCTCAGTGTCAATGTCTGTGGATAACAGCAGCGTTGGTTCTAGTGATGCTCTTATTGGCCACCCGGGTTTGAAGCCATTGCGCCATGTCTACTCACTCTCGGTCGGGCAAAGCGTGTTTCGCCCCGGGAAAGTCACACACGCGTTGAATGATGACGCCTTAGCTCAAGCACTAATGGATAGCAGGAATCCAACAGAAGGGCTGGCCAACTATGAAGAGTGGACGATAGATCTGAGGAATCTCCACATGGGTCCTGCTTTTGCTCAAGGGGCTTTCGGTAAATTATACAAAGGGACGTACAATGGGGAGGACGTAGCGATCAAGAT